TTTTCTTTATAAAGGATGAATGATAAAAGTATAGAAAGCTTCTCTATGGGAAATACATAGGATTTGACTGAAGCTATTTTCCACAGATGCAGAACTCAGGAATTAGTCATCACTCTGCCCACTCTCCCTTCCATCATTTGCTTGTAGAACTTAGCAAAATATTTTATAAAAGGAGTTGCTAAACCTCCAAGAACAGATGCCAGGTTAAGCTGTAAGATCAGCTGATGTGTTTCTAAAACCAGGATTTTGCCCTAGCTTCATCCCCATCTGACAGAAGTGAATTGCTGAAACTTATTAGCAAACTTGGTACAGATTCATTTAAAAACTTGCCAGAATCTTCCAGCAAAGAGGGAACTAAGGATCTAATAATCCACATAGAAAAAGCAACAGTTAGAAGAGCAGGTTTTTTTCATGTATTTTCTTCTGACCATGAAGAATATTTAAAAACATTATATATTACACATACAGAGTTTAACATGCCATTCAGAACTATGAATATATTAAGTGCTATCATGACTTTAGGCTCTGTATGCACAATGACTTTCAAAGCCTGAGATGTATTTATTTTCAAAAATATCAAGTGTCTCAGACTTGGAAATCAAATATTTTCACTACATACATGTGATTAAACTCACCGATGCAAAATCTGAGATCAAATTTCACAAAAACAAGAAAAACCCTACACAAATTACAAAGATCTGGCACACAGATTATGCCTGATTTGTAATGACTAAATTGATTTGTAGTTTAATACTTGGCTATTAGGAGTGAGCTGACACAGTGTACTAATTCTGTAACATACTATATTTTGTGCTACTACAAAACACGAAGCTAAGCAGTAGTGCAGTTACAGATCAGCAGCATAACAGGACTGTGTATAATGTGTGTTTGTTTTGGATTGCAATTTGTGCTCTTTAGCATCAAAGTACAGAACACATCACAACTGTAATTTAATAGACACACATCTTGTATCTCTTCTAGATACGTGGGAACAAAATACTAATAATTTATGATTAGTCTATATCAGACACTTCTGAAATTAATAATTTGGGGTTTAACTTGGTTTGTTTTTTTCAAGCCAACCATTTTAGAAAAACAAGAAGAAAAACCAGACTCTTCTTAAAATATATATACTAAGTAAACATGCTAGTATGAACTGGTAAAAAGTGAGTTATTCCACATCGGCACGTTTGGCTCTAGAAAACATGATGTGATGAGACTAAAGTGCAAATATAATAAACTCTGTTCCCAAAGTGAGCACTTGAGATTGGTGATGTTCAAATAATTCTACACACAGAAGCTGGGTTGTGACAGAAGATACATAACTTTCCCCATCTGAGGCTCTGCACTGTTTCTGCACATTAAGATACTACATTCCCCTACCACCTAATTTCCAGGATCCTTGTTATAAAGGAAATAAGGCACCTGGTATCTTAAACACGCCTGAAATAAAAGAAGTCATTTTCTGTACTTAAAAGAAAATAACAGTCTGGAACAGCACCTTACAGCCTAAAAATTTCATTTCAAAGAGCACTACTGATAACAAACCATTTTACCCAGGACAAGGAGGCAAAAATTTTAACAATTAATTATTCACAGCAACTTGTCTGAGCAGGTTTTTCAGATATGTATCCAGATATATCATCCACCAGTTAAGGAAGAATTAATTACAAAAAGGAAATTTTCACAGAGTTTCATTCTTAGTGGCAAACATGAACAAATGATGAGTTTCACTACTACTAAACCAGCTATTAGTACTGATAAAATGACAAACACCTTGTGCTTGACTCCCTACCAAAGCAAATAAGCACTGCTATCTCACATACATATATTCTGTTTATCCTCGAACTTTTTTAGCTTGTATATTTGCCTATTGTTTTTTCTCCCTGAAGTATATTAGGCAAGACAGAAACAATAATGTCAGCATGAATACAGTTTAGTGATTTAGTGCACAGTGATTTAAGGAAAGGAAAAAAATAAAATACAAACTTCGTTGAGCAAAGGAATGTTACATAACACATATGACCGTGCATGGGATATATAAAATTTTACTGAAAGGTGAGAAACTTTAATGTTAAAATACCTCCTCTTAATCACTTACCAACACACTTTTCAACATATAATTCTATGCTTTTAAACTCCAAACTATGAATACTCTCTCTTATTTTAGCCATGCTGGCTGCCAGTAGGCTGCAGGACAGGCATGTCTAGCTGTGTACCACTCGGATCACTTAGTCTGGGCCACAGCCTTCAGGAACGGCTGAAGCTCATGCTGGCCCACATTCATTTGTTTCTCTAGGAGGAGATAAAAAAACACATGCCTTGGTCTCATCTCAGAGCTGGGAAATGATCAGGACACAGTTCAAACCGGTGGGAGTTTGGAAATAAGTCTAAAACCCTTACTACTACACTGCTGCTTCAACCCACCATACTAAAAGCTTACCTTTACTATATCCAACCTCTCCAGGCCAGTGTTAACACAGGCCACACTATAGTCTTTTCCATATTAAAAAAAAAATAGTTTGCTATAAAACAAAACTGATATTCTCTGATCTGAAAGCAGATGAGAGGCACCTCACCCTCATCAGTGGTACAAATACAACTTTCTCCCATGCTACAGCACTGCATTCTTAAATTCAAAAGGTTGATGTGTATCTTGGAGTGAAGTTCTCAACACATAAAGGAGCATGCAGAACAGATTGGCTGGAAAACATTCCCATGGTCTACCCAGAAATCAGGTAAGAAATCTTTTAGTTGTAAACACAGACACAAGGCATGGATGTTCCTACACAGTACTTGTTTTTTTGCAATTCCTTCTACACGTTTCAATTTGATCCACACAAGTACTTTGGATGTTACTTTAGGCTTTACTGAACTCCTTAAAAATGCAGAATTGGGATGAAAATCTATAATGGAGGGGTACAAGGCACAGAAGGCAGTTCCATCATTTAATGAAACCTAGCATGACTGACATACAACCTGTACCTTGAAGGTGACAGGGAACATCATATTCAATCTCATCATGTCTTGATGGGCTAAGGAATAGGGTCCCATCCACCAGCGGAAACTGTTCAAACACTGGCAGCGCCCTGTGGCATAGAGCACAGTTTACAACGTTCCTGTGGCTGGCACTGAGAGCAGCAAGGATGAACTTCCGAAGGTCTTCCCCTTGGCCCACCTGGGCATCATCTTCCATCCGCACATGGAAAGTATTCAATTTATGCCTGGGGATGTGGGTGAGCAGCTCAGATAGATCGAGCCTTCTCAAAAACTGCACAGGAGCATCAAAGTGTCCTGACCTATGTGCTTGCAAGCCAGCTGCCCCGTAATCAAAATGTGCATTCCTGAACATGCCCCCACCAGCCATGTTCTTCTTATGGGGCTCCAGGTGAATGGCGTTCTTCAAAAACTCTCCCAAGTATCGCGAGGAACGAGGCCCACTGAAGTGTGTGGGGGCAAGAATAGAGTAGCCGGTGGGCGGGGATTGGCCAGGAGAGACACAAGGTGAACGAACGGCGTAGCTGCCGCCCATCACACCCTTCTCTTGGGAGTTCTGCCTGTCCATCGAGTGCCTTCGCTGGAGGTCGTTACTCAAGCCTTTCTGGGGCTTGTTGGCCGGCCTGCCCTTTTTGGCCTCCTCTGCTGACTCCGCCATGGACCTTCCCGTACTTTTCTCCAACACTGATTTCTTCTTCTTATCATCCTGCATTCGTTTCACCTGGTACCAGTCAGTGTCCTTCTTTAAATGACCCTGCCCACACCGACAGGAGCAAAAGCGAAAAGCCAGGTCATATCCCTTCTTGGTCCACATGTTTTGGCGACACTGCTTTTCGTTCCAGCTCCTGGCTCTGCCAATGCAATTGAACTGGACGAGGATGCTGCTTTCCCACTCGTAGAAGCACTGAAGGTGCATCCAAGTGCTATACGGACAGTGCTCATTGTTGCATATAACCTTCTGGTAGTCATCCTTCTCCAGGTCCACTGGCCTTCCAAAGCTGCAGATCAGTGGAGTAGCACAAGGAGCTTCTGTGGAAGGTAAAACAGATACATTAATAACTTAATGGTCTATTTATTGCAATACTTTTTTAAAAACCATGATAAACACACAAGCTCTTATGGCCCATATTACTGAGGGGCCACAAGCATTACCTACCTCTGAGTCACTGCAAAAAGCAATATTTGCCAAAAGAGTTAAGCATGTGAAAGGAGATATGGAAATGAAGGAATAAAGAAACAAAACGACATCATAGTGTGTTTAGTATTCAAAACCAAAGCACCTCACAAGCATTAGCTCTCCTCAAGCGTTTGCAGATACCGTTTCAAGACCTTAAGAAGCAAGCAGAAAGCTTTGTGAATGTTTCTGGAGGGTTGCTTTGAAGCCTGAGAGGCCACATGGAGAGAACACTGTTTGAAAAACAAGTAAGCAATACAGCCCAGCTTCACAGTCACAGGGAGAGGCAGAAATTGATCTTTTCTTTGGGACTGAGCAAGAGACAACAGCTAGGGAGAGGAGGAAGCAGACTACTTTGAAAAGCAAGACAAACAGTTTATATTCCTAGTACGGAAAGGAGGGCCTTCATTACATTGCTTTAGGCAAATACAGACTATTTCATCACCACTGACCTCCTGGATAGCTAAATTTCACAAACCAAACACTCCTGCAGCACAGACAGGTTAAAAAAAACAAATGCTACATGGTCTTTTATCATCTAAGTAGCAGCTTTTGCTATACCATTGAGCAAACAACAGTTTACTTCAATCATCTCCTGGCAATAATATCAGCTTTAACGCAAAAAATGCTATATGAAAATATGTTCTGCATTTACTGACTTACGAAATTTTCTCGTCCTTCACCAAAGTACCCGGGACTACATATGACTCCCATTGCTGGCTGCTCTGTTGCAGCTGGGAGGTACAAAAGGGCTAGAAATTTTCTACTGGAGTTTCTATATGAACTTTTCAGATGCTTACTCAAGTATTACAAATATTTCTTCACTGTATTTCTGTCTTCCTAATTCCTCCACTTGTAATGATCATCTTTTTATGAATCCCATAGTAAAACAAGCTTTAGCAAACATTCATGACCCACCTTATGATTTCTTTCCAGAAATTTATGATTTATTACAATTTACTAAAAAAACTTTGGATTCATACTTGGAAAAGGTAATCTCATAACTTATACGTGGTCGTTACAAGTAACTTTGCTGATCTGATTCAGGATTTCTTAGCCACAACTACTGCATTAGGAAAAGCTGCTACTGATGTCCGAAATTTAGCTCCTGAAGGCACCCCTGAACCACCTCCAGAAGCTGATTTCAGAGAGGATGGGGCAGATGTAGATAAATAATTTGAGACCGTACAGGGATCCATAAGGGAGTGGAATCCATCATATCCCACTGGGGCATAAACTGGTTTTCATTTATCCATTTATAATACTCTACAATAGCAAACTTTAAATAAGGCACAAAGGCTGTTGTGGTAGCATATAAATTGTCTGATCTGGGGAGAATCAAATGTGACAGAATATATTGCCAGACTGCAATAGTGATTTCTGACACCTGCAGCCTACAGAGGAAAAGATGCCCCAACCATTAAAGTAATCACTAGACCAATTCTGGGCAGCACCACACAGCTCAACAAATTCTTTGGCAGTTGGAGAAAATGCTGGATCGAGAGGCAGAAAGAAAACACTAATCCAACAGGGCTGTCAGGCTGCCTTTTGACTTCTTTATGACTGCATTCAAACACTAGTAGACTCCTTCAGGGTATTCTGTGGTCAAGTGCTGCCTCACTCCATGTACACAACACAGCACAGCTCCCTGCCATTCGCCAGTCTCAGCCAGAGTTCAAAGACCTACAGCAGAGGTACAGAGAGCCTTGTTGAGAGATACAGTCATGATCCAGAGTTTTTTTCCCTTAGGACTTTAAATTTCTATTTGATAAGCTGGGAGAAAACCACCACTTGGTTGCACGGTTTTAATCCATTCTTATAGGCTAGCACAAATACTACAATGTAATTTGCAGTGGAATAATAGGTTTTACGCTGCCACATTTACTTTTACTCAGACTCTTAGTAACAGACACACTACCCATCATCACCTGTCCTCCAGCAGCAATACACAAACCTGGTGTTTTACAAGGAATCTTTGCCACAATAGTTGTTTCGCTCCTTCCGAACAAGTTTTTGTAAAATGCTATAAACAAACAAAACCTTCAAGGTTACCTCCAGTAAACTCAAGATTACTGTATCTCTGAAGACTTATTTACACAGAAGAAACAGCCACAAATAGGACAAAAAAACCTCTCCTGAGCCTCTCCCTGGAAGACGCCACATCCTTCACCTCATTTCTTGGCCTCTGTTTCTAATGCCAGAAGTGGACCAGTTGCACAGAGAATTTTCTGCAACACTTTTCCTTCAAGGACTGGCCTATAAACTGCAAGCAAAGAACATTGCCAAAAACTGTCTTTTAAAGCAGAAAAAGCCTACTTCATTTCAAAATATGGATTTGTTCAGTCATTAAAAACAAATTATCAAATTGGAGAGAACATAGATAAGAGAGGCTTTCCCTAGGGACTTTTCAGAGGTTTCTTCTATACCGGAGGTACCAACATGAACAATTATCATGCATTTCCTGTATTCATCTATCTTGATACATATTCCTTTCCACCACTGCAAGGAGGCAGGAAGAACATGCCAAAAATTCACTTGTGCTCTCCCTGTTTTTCAAATAGTAAATGTTCTAACAGTTGCAGGCATAAGTATGGTTGACAGCTGAGAAAGTTACTATAAAGAGAAGTCTAGAATTGAATAAAGACCTTAAACTTCTTCATCCATACTGGCATAGTTAACTGACAAAAAAAAGTGCTTTCTTGATTAGCCTCTGAACATATTTTTTGTTTTGTACACAAAAACATATGATCTCTAGCCCCCTGAGAAGTTTACAGACTCTTCATTATTTGGCAAAAAAATGAAATTACTAAGTGACTGAAATAGAAAAAAAAAATTACCACAGCCCATGTTCTCCATAGAACACGTTCACAGTTATTCATTATAATTACATACTGCGTGTCTAGATGCTAATGTAAAGGCAACTTCCAACAGATTTTTTTTCCCCTTTTCCTAGTTGGTCAATCGAAGTATACTGTGGAATAAGATCTTTTCCAGCTTCTCCGTGAGAACTTACAGATGTCAGTTTACTTGAGGAACTTCCCATACAGCATAAGCATAACTATGGGCAAAAAAAGCTTCAAGTTTTGGACAGCGATGTCTTCTTCAACATTTAAGTTAACTAGATGATTACGAAGTCTTCAGACATTCCATCATCTGACCTTCTATCTACCCAGTGCGAACTGGCTGATCACATAATCACCATAGAAAAAGCAGGTCTAGAGCAGCTGGAAGAAAGCAACAGAATGAAAAAGCCTTCCCCCTTGCAAAAGACACCAGTGAATTGTTAACAGTGGCATTGAGATCACTTTGGAAAACATCACTGCTAAGAGGAGAAGCTCGTCTCTACTCAGCTCTTCTGAGCACTCCCCTGACACTTCACTACTGTCACTTTAGCAGCATAAGAAATACTACAGAAAACTAACAGGTCTCTCTGCCATGCTGCCGTGCTCCACAGCATGGTTTATGCCATGGTAGTCAAAGTACCTGCTTTCACTGATACAGATTTGCTATTATGAAGTCTGCTGGTTTGCAGAAGGCCTTGATTAAACTGCTGCAGTGCTTCCACAAGAGAAACCGAAGAGTCCGGCATGGCTAATTAATATTGTCTCAGTAGAAAGTTCTTCTGTAGTATCCCCGTACTTAAGAAAGCAGAAAACTTCACTGCCTGAAAAGCATATAGAAGCCTCAAGCCAACATTTGGTTCTGCCTAACATTTCAATTCCCAGCAGGTCTATCTGTACAAAACAGACTGTACAGGACTGAACAACCCTTGCAGATTTCTCTCCGTCCATGTCTCCTGCCAAACATAACCATGCTACATGTTCCTGCATAAAGAATAAATGAGAAACAGAAAACAGCTATTTCTGTGCAACTTTCACAGTTTACAGCAACAGATATGACTTAGGAGCAAAAGAGACAGCAGTCAGATCAGTATGGGAGCCACTTTTTAGCAAATATGAAGATGTGTTCCCATCAATTCACATTCTCAAAAGTGGTCTGAGTTATTTAATCACCATTTTATAGACAGGACAGAGAGCTTATTAGAGTAGTACAAAACTTCCAAAATTCTTATTATCAAGTCCTTGTACTTTCCACATCTAAAAATGTATTTTGAGATATTCTTCAAAAAATCAGTTGTATTGTTCTAATGTTTTAAGCAATGACTAGTGACTGTCAAGAGAGATGATAATGTTGAGTAAATAGAAATTCACAAGGTCAAACTGCCCATCCACACCTGCAGCCCCAAGCTGGTTTGTCACCTAAATATAATTTGCTTCCAAGTAGCAGCTCAACAGGTTTCTGGTTTCCAAAGTTATGAAACTGAACTTCAGGAAAAATGAAAGATTACTTGGTATGAGAGCAGTATCCATTATTCTAGCCGCCCCTTCTAAAAGAATGCCAAAATAATGATAAAAGAGCTTTTATTTAACTCTCAGTTTCAAGGTGCATTTCACAACCTAAGAGAACAAAGCAAGACAGTGTGCAATTTTGTGTAGTGGAACAGCTTCAGTGTAGGCTGTCAAGTTGCAACTACAGGCGCATGCTGCTTCTTTCAATAAGTAATGTTTCCACATAAAAAATAAAGGTTTTCTCATATTCCTCTGTAGTGATTTGGAACAGTAATTCTGAAAACAGTTGCAAGGAGCAGTACATAAATTTTTTCAGAAACAGATGCAACATACAATATTCCACACAAACATACATTTGAGCAACGATAGTTCATTGCTTAAACAAGGTTGTGTTTTATGTTTGACAGAGCTACCAGAAAATCAACTTTTATTTCAAAAGTGACATGACAGAAGACTGTAAGGAAGCTGGATTGGGTTGTTTGGCTTTTTCTCAGCTTTTCTGTTAA